ACACCCATGTTTTGTACTCTATACTCATATGTCTGTGTACGGAATTTTATTGTGATCACAGTAATACCAAAATTAACGACATAGAACAATTTTGGGGGTTGACAAACCTGAAAAGAGCATAAACATTTCTTCGCTGTTTGGCGCTCACGGCTAACGATCCCCAGTTTTTTATTTGGTGCGGGTCCCACGTCAGTTTGGCAAAATTTTATATATATATATTCCTCTAGAGCATTAACGTGCGAACAAATTGATACAAAAATTAAATACATACATGGAAAATTAAGGTCAGCAGACCGAAAAAGAGTATAAACATTTCAGTGTTTTTGCGTGGTCGCCCGAAATGCTCATCCCACAATGGAAAAGTTAAAGAGCCTTCTGCTGGGATTGTGATAGTGTTAAGAATATTGTATGAGGAGCCTATGCTACACTTTCTAACTTCAGAATTGTTTTTAAATACATGGATGGAGAATTACTAAAGAAATTGTTCACACCTTTTGTTAGACCAAAGCTAGAATATGCAGCAGTTGTATAGTGCCCCATATCTTAAGAAGCACATCAACAAACTGGAAAAGGTGCAAAGACATGCCACTAAGTCACTCCCATAACTGAAGGAAAAGAGCTATGCGGAGAGGTTAGAGGCATTAAATGTGCAAAAATTAGAAGATAGAAGAAAAAGAGGCGATGTGAACACTACGTACAAAATAGTAACAGGAATCGATAAAATGGATAAAGAAGAATGCCTGAGACCTGGAACTTCAAGAACAAGAGGTCATATATTTAACCCTTTAACTGCGCAACGTGCCTGCAGGCCCACGTCTTGGGTGCACTATGTGCCCTGGGTACAGTATTTGTATTTTTCACGTTCCATTCAAAACTCCCACGGCTACATGGGGTTCACATCAGCTTCCTCAGGGCTCTTGTAAACAGACACCATCTTTAAAAAAGATCATGGTCCACATTCCCAGGTGTGAGAGCTTCAGTAGTGAGTGAGCAACCAAGGCCGGCACATGCAGCATGAGCTCACAGCACTGCTGTTCAGCTTGGGACCACAGCATTGCCTAATAATGTCAAAATATATATATAACTTGTATTATTTAGCCATGATAGTATTACATAAGAGCCTGAGTGTGATAATAACTTTGTTCAATGTTCAAATATTAGTGATTCAATGCTGTTCACGATGTTCACAGTGCTAGCCACAGCATTATTTCGTCCATCTTGGAATCTTCAAACGACTTCTTAGGTTCCTTTACAAAATAAACTTGTGGTCAATTATGTATTTACAGGATTTAGTGACCAGTATTGTGATAACAGCAGGATTGTGGTGATAATAAGCACTGTGCGTATTATTGTGGGAGGAGTAATTGTGGTGTGGGAGCGAGGGAGAGAATCGAGGTAGCCTCACTGTGTGGCAGCCAATCTTGTTTTGCTCATCATACTAGCTTAGTGGTTCCCTATGGTGAACACATTTGTACATGGGTATATACAATGTGTGTATATAGTATAGTAACAGCAACAGGATTGTGTTGGGAGGAGCTATTTTGGTGAGGGAGGTGACGTAATCGTAGCGTCGTCTGCTGGCTGCTGTGTGATTTTTCATGCAGTGTATGGTGGCCACTGTAAAGTTTGGACACAATACCGGCTTACTTGCATAGTTCTGGTGAATAAAACATGTAGATAGGTATACATAACTTGTGTAAATAGTGTAATACAAACAATAACAGTATGGTGGGAGGAGCAATGTTGGCGAGTAAGATGTTGGTGGAGTGAGGGAGAGAATGGATGTTGGAGGAGTGAAGGTGTGGCAGCTGACACTCATGGAGTTCTGAGTGTGTTGATGGTGAATGTATATAGTGTGTGATAGTGTATAAATAGACTGTATATATACATAAATTAGCATAATACAATGGAAATATGTGCCGGATATGTGTACACATGTGTCATGCATGCAACACAGTGTCTTCGGACAATACAGATGTTCTACTGCCATAATATAGTGTACGTGTTCATTATACATTCTATTGGCATGTAAAAGCATATAAAATGTATTTGGAACTGTGCGCAGAAAATGAACAAAAATATATTCGCGGCAAGTCGCGCATCCTGCCCCGAGTGCCCTATTGGCCCCGGGGGCATATGCCGCGGGCGACCTGGGAATAATGATGTCACGCACGAACTTACGGACCACATAGCAGCTAAAGTACTTACAATTTCAACCTGTTACTATACCCTTACTCAGGGAAGGGTTTTTTAACACTTTAAAAACAGAAAAGATTTTTTTTTCCAGAGATTTTATTTCCTGCACACTTGGGGGGGGGGGTGTCATATTTGGAGGTCGCGCAGTTAAGGGGTTAAACTAACAAAACAAAACTGCCGAAGAAATATAAGAAAATTCACTTTTGTAAATTGAGTGGTAGACAGTTGGAACAAGTTAGGTGAGAGGGGTGGCAGAGGCTAAAACCGTCAGTAATTTCAAAGCGTTATATGACAAAAAGTGCTGGGGAGATGAGACACCACGAGCATAGCTCTCATTCTGTGACTACACTTAGGTAATTACTATTCTGTTTGGACACTGTACCAGCTTAGTTGTATAGTTATGGTGAATAAAACATGTAGATACTTATTATATAACATGTGTGTATAGTGTAATAAAACCACAAATAGCATTATGGGAGTAGGAATATTGTTAAGTTAGGTGTTGAAGGAGTGAGGGAGGGAGGGAGGGCTGGCTGGGTGTCGCAGCCCAATCTTATTTTGTGGGCTCACCATGCCAACTTAGTGGTTCGTTATGGTGAACACATATGTAGATAGGTATATAAAATATGTGTATATAGTGTAATAACAGCAAAAACTGTTTGATTGTAGAATATAAAATATATGTCACATATATGAGCCCCATAATTTTGAGCATAGCACTGTTCCACACATTGAACTATATAAATTCCATAAATTACACACTTTGAAATAATATTGCAGAAAAAAAACAGAAGAAACTAATGAGAAACATCAAAATAATTGTGAAACATTATATTCATGGCAAAGCAGGGCTGAGTGACCCCAAGCACTCCATCGCTCAGCACCCATAATTTGTTCAATTTCCCAGCTCCATCACGGCTAAAGTATGTCACATACAATATTTTTTTTTAGTTTCCTGTGATCAGAGACTGCATTTTAACCCTTACACTGCTCAGGGGTCCTGGGGACATTTACACCCCTGTGCGCAAGAAAAAATTTTTTTTTTTTTTTTCGTCATCTAAACATGTTAATTTGTGTCCCCTGAGCACGGGAAAAATAAAAAAAAAATCGTAGGTGACATATTTTGGGCGCAATTGACCGAGGAAGTCTGGCAAAAAGTGGGCGTTGACAGAGCGGTCGTCAGACCCGGTCAGCGTCACCCGCGCTGACAGATGGGAGTTGCCACAAAGATATTATTACCTAATTGTTTCAATGTCTTTGATTGATTTTTTCTTAGTTTTTTTGCAGTAATATTATTCAATAGTGTGTATTGTAATATATTTATATAATAAAAGTGGTGAATAATCGCTATACTCAAAAGAATGATGTGCATATTAGTGATTCAATTATTATGTTTATAAAACAATAAACAAATAGTTTTGCTGCTATTACACTCTATACACTGGTTATATATAAGTATCTGCATGTTTTGGTCACCATAACAAACCACTAAGTTGGTATTGAGAGTCAAAAAGCAACGAAGAGTTACCGCCACACACCAGCCAGCCACTCGCTGCCACTCCCTCAACACACGCACTAAACTTTCTTCCCCAACAATACCATTTGTGGTGTTATTACACTATATACAGACGTTATATATAAGTATGTATATATTTTGTTCACCACAACTGTACAGCTAAGCTGATATAGTTAGTTCAGGCACTAAGAGTCATCGCTATACACAGATGGCGGCTGGCGGCTCCCTCACTCATTCAAGGTCACACGCACTAAACTTTCTCCCCCAACAATACTGTTTGCAGTGTTATTACCCTATATACAAATATTATATATAAGTATCTGCATGTTTTATGCACCGTAACTGTACATCTAAGCTTGTAGTGCGCCCAAAGAGCATAGTGGCCACCCTCTAAACAGCTAGACAAATCATGCAGACGACGTCACCTCCGTCACCTATATGGCTCCTCGCAGCATAATCCTTTTGCTGTTATTACACTAATACACACATTATATATAAGTATCTACATTTGTGTTCACCATAGAGAACCACTGACCTGGTATGATGAATGCAAACAATAACAGCTAGCCACACAGTCAGTAAACGATGCTGTCTCCCTCCATCTCTCAGCATCACTCCTCCCACAGCGCTGATTATTACAACACTCCTGCTATTATCACAACCCTGGTTATTTATATCACAGTCATGGGTCATCTGTAATATTGTCATCGCTAAATAATAACAATTATATATTTATTTTGATATTTTTCGGCGATGCTGTGGTCACAAGCTGAACAGCAATGCTGTTCGCTTATGCTGCGTGCGCCGGCCTTGGTTGCTCCAACAGTACTGTGCCTCTCACACCTGAGAATATTGCCCACGATTTTTTTTTAAATGGCATCTGTTTACAAGAGCCCTGAGGAAGCTACTGTGAACCCCGTGTAGCCGCGGGCCATTTGAATTGGGTCTGGCACCCTATGGCATATATATACGCAATGCGCACTGTGGGACATGTTACTCAGGGCGTATATATACGCCATGCGCAGTTTAAGGGTTAACAATATAAGAAGAGGAAAATAATTTTTTGGAATGAATTTATTTTTGCCACACCACAGGGTTGTCATATTTTAATGCAGAACAGTGCAGTGGTTAAATTTGTATTATATATAAAAAAAGTAAGTTTTATACATTTATGGTGCTGAGAGGGTGAAATCATTACCTTTTCCTGTCTTTATGGTTTTATTTTGCAATTCATCTCTCAAATATAGTAGTTATTTTTGTTTGTAATTCTTTTCTCATTTTCTTTCAGGTGATGAATAGCTGAAATAGTCGTCTGATTAAGTGGCCCAAAAATATAATAGTGTAGATAAAGCATTAATTCAAGTTAAATCTTAACCTATCAGACATTTCAGCAAGAAAACTGGTATTTAAATGTCTTGCTATACACCATTCCACTGGAAAATTTTAACATTTCCTGATATAGTATAATGAATAAAATAGACTTTTTGCAAGAATGCAAAATAATAAAACTTGCAAATAATGTTGTATATTTCATTCAACATGTCTAACTATGAATAGACAAACTCATGAATTATGATGTGCTACTAAAAAAATTGTACTGCATTTCAAACTAAGCAATTTAAAACAGGTTATTTTGTCCTAACAAGGACAAATATAAGACACAAGAGTATTAAAGGCATCAGCCAAGTTTTAGATTTGGAGTACGGTAATTTATAAGCAGACATGACTCGCCCTCGGGATACTGACTGTGCAGTAAGTATTCAGTCAGATCAAAATAATGTTCAACCTACTGATTTTGAAGGGTTTGAACAAAGTGTTGGTGAACAAGAAGCAGCACATAAACAGATCAGTGCATATCAAACCCTTACATTGCAATATCTCAAGGAAAAGCTTACTTCTACTGTCCTCTCTTCAGAAGAGAAAAAACAAATTCAGTGGAAGGTGAAACAATATTCATGCATGTTGAGAAAGCAAACCAAAAGGTTATGCATGTTAAATACTACATATGAACTTTCCGAAAAAGAAAATTTACAAAGGTGGGAGCTAAATGATTTCTCAGATTCATCATCACACACATTTGTAAATGATCATATTCAATGGTTAAACATGGCATTGAAAACACTCAATTATTGTGGTTCTGGTGATAGCAAGTTCAAACTTACATCATACTTTGTGTATGGAAATGTAGTACAAGCTGAGATCTCAGTTAATGCTATTATGTTTTTAAAAAAGAATCTTAATCACCAATCTACAACAAGCTATTTACATCAGAATTTACCAAGTAGCATGAAGAAAACAGTTACTAAAGCTATGCTGAAGAGATTGATGATGTTGAGTCCTCTTTTCCACTTTGACGAGTCACGTGGAGTTTGGAAGCGGTTGTCAGGATTGCAGCAGAAAAGTAAGTGATCATTATTACAGTTATTATATCATCATATTAGACAACATTTGTCTGTGTAATGGATCGACAATAGATGCAGGGTGCAATAAGTGACTAAATTATATTTAGGTTCACAATCAGTCAAATTTGAGTAAAGTCATTGATTTCTAAACAGTTAACCCCTAAGCTGCTCTGGGCTATTTGGCCTTCAACACTGACAGGCACAAAAAAAAAAAAAAAAAAAAAAAATCGTCTTATAAAAGTGTTCATTTGTGTTCCCTGATCACGGTAAAAAACAACAACGTAAATCGCATATTTTGGCTGCAATAGGGCGGGGAAGTCTGGCAAAAAAACAGTGTTGAATGTAATGAAATGCCATTTTCTGGGTGTGACCCAGAGGCTCCCCGGAGCAATACAGGCTGATATGCTAATGTCAGACTTTGGCATCAGTCAAGTGTATGGAGGAGTTCTGTGGGCCTACCGGGGACCACGAGCCAGAACCTGGCCCCCTCAGAGAGGCAAGGGGAGCAATAGCCTGTAGAAACCCCCGTGTGATTGGAAGCATTCTATGTCTGCCATCGACTGGATTGGGCACCCAGAAAGGTAAGCGTCCCAAAACAAACCCCTATTCTGGTTAAAATTGATACCTAATGCCGAACTAGTGGATAGAACTCCCCAAAAAGATACAAGCAAACTAGCATGACATCACACGTCACTGCGCCGCTGTCTGTGCAGTTCCCCCTCTCCCCGGGAGGGGGAAGGGGGAGCCCCAGACCCCCACACCAGCAATCCACACCTCAGTTCTGAGGCTGGATGTCAAGAAAACCCGAAAACCACACCTCAGTTCTGAGGCTGGATGTCAAGAAAACCCGAAAACCACCGACCGGAAGGAGGGAGGGATGCCGGGGAGCCTCCGGGTCACACCCAGAAAATGGCGTTTTCATTACATTCAATGCTGATTTTCTGGAGGGGGGGAGCCCTGTTGGCTCCCCGGAGCTAACTACCCACAGAGGAAAGTAGAGGGACACATCCGGGAGGAAGTCGCTGCATGCTCCACTACTCAAAACCGAGACAACTGGCTGCAACTGCCAACCCAAGGCGACACAAGCCCGACTAGGCCCAGGAACGAGTACGAGACCATGAGCAGCCAGGACCCTGTCCGACCGCCAAAAACCCAGCGCCCGAATGTCAAACCAGGCCACGTTGCCAAAAACGGCAGCAAGAGCCGCTAACGTACGAATGTCACAAGCTATGGTCACAAGTTGGTGACCACAAGTTGTGGTCACCAACCCCACAGGCAGCAGATGGAGACAAAACTGTGAGAGTCACTCTGAGACAAGGGGACAAAGCAACCCTCGAACTCGCACAAAGTTAGGGGGGGGGGACTCCGGGGCCACATCCATCGGGCCCACGCTACCCCTAGGGGTTTCCCAGGGTCCTGAGCGTTTACTATAAGAGGACTCGTGCTCAGGTAATCCCAGGCAGGGTACTGTTAACCGGCACCCATGTCTACCAAAAAACTTTATAAAAACTGAACCCCGGGACGTGTGCACTCACGGGGACCTAGCAGGGGGAACCACCGGAAGAAGAGAGCTCAGTACAAAAAGGGGGAAAGGACCAAAGGCAGACCCCCCCCCACCAGGTAGACAAACAAAAAGAAAAAGAAAACCCCGCAGTAGTACAGCGTACCCAGGCAGAACAGAGCCGGCCGCTATGATTGGTGAAAATAAGCTGCACAGTACCCTGTGCTCCTACCAGTGCAAACTGCCCCTTACCCTAAGGCGAACAAGGGAGACAAAACTCCCTATCACACAAAGGGCGGCCGAAAACCAAGCAGTAAACGGCCTAGCAGAAGCAGGACCCCAAGGAACTTGTGGAAGGTAACCCCAAGCCCCAAGGGTAGTACTTACAGGGCACCTAGGGAAGGGAACCATAGGCGCATACAGCCCGAGTACTGGAGACTCACTCCTGGCTCACGCACCACCTAGAAGACAGACACCACACTCTAGGTACAGTGCTGAAACAACCACTGGAGCCGGAGCACACAACTGGTGTCTTCAGCATCAGCCGAAGAACTGAGGTGTGGATTGCTGGCGTGAGGGTCTGGGGCTCCCCCTCTCCCCGGCTGCGCAGACAGCGGCGCGGTGACATGTGACGTCATGCTAGTTTGCTCGTATCTTTTTGGGGAGTTCTATCCACTAATCCACTAATTCAGAATTAGGTAGCAATTTTAATCAGAATAGGGGTTTGTTTTGGGATGCTTATCTTTCTGGGTGCCCGATCCGGTCAATGGCAGACATTGAATTCTTCAAACCACACGGGGGTTTCTATAGGCCATTGCTCCCCATGCCTCTCTACGGGGGCCACGCAGGTTCTGGCTCGTGGTCCCCGGTAGGCCCACAGAACTCCATACACATGACTGATGCCAAAGTCTGACATTAGCATAGCAGCCTGTATAGCTCTGGGGAGGTCGACGGGGCTCCTCCTAGAGAAGAGCGTTGACAGAGCAGGCGCCAGAAGAGGTCTGCTTTGACACAGCTGTCAGGTGGAAGTTGCCACAAAGAGGATATTACTTAATTATTTCAATGTCTCAGATTGATTTTTTCTAAGATTTTTTGCAGTAATAACATTCAATAGTGGGTAGTGTGATATATTTATATAATAAAATGTGTGAATCATCGCTATACTCAAAATTATGATGTGCATACAGTATTAGTGATTCAATTTTTATGTTCATAAAACAATAAACAAATAGTTTTGTGGTTATTACACTATATACAAATGTTATATATAAGAATCTGCACGTTTTGTTCACCATAACAAACCACTAAGTTTGGTATTGTGAGTCAAAAAACAAGGAGTGGCCACCACACACCAGCCAGCCAGCCATTCACCACCACTCCCTCGCTCAACAATACCTCACTCGCCAACATCCTCCTCCCACCATACTGTTTTTGCTTTTATTCACTATATACAGATGTTATATATAAGTATCTATGTATTTTGTTCACCATAACTGTTCAACTAAGCTGGTATAGTGCCCAAAGAGCATAGTGGCCACCCTTACACAGCATGACATGTCATGCAGATGACACCACCACCCTCACTAAAATGGTTTCTCCCAACACTCCTTTTGCTGTTATTACACTATATTTACACATTATATATTAGTATCTACATTTGTATTCACCATAACGAACCACTAAGTTGGTATGCTGAGTCAAAAAGCAGCCAGAAGTGTCCAGCACCAGCCACTCGCCAGTCTGTCTAATTACCCAAAGCTACCTAAATCTACTCAAAGCTACCCAAAGCTTCCTAGCATTACATAAGTAATGAAGAAATATGATATATTTACTCACTGTAACATTGGTGCTGAAGGTAGAACATGAAAACATGAACAAACTATTTTTACTCTGAAATAATATACGTTTATAACGAAATTAGATGAAACTAAGTGGCATGAGAGGCCATAGAAAGTCGTCGATTCAAGCGGCAATGTTGTGGAGCGACTTATCCTAAATATATTGTTGCCTACAGGCTATATTAAGTTAGGTTTAGATAGGTTAGGTTTAGTTAGGTTAGGTTTTGTTAGGTTGGGTTTTGTTAGGTTATGTTTGGGTAGGTTGGTTAGGTTAGGTAGGTACAGAAGGCTGATATGCCAGCAAACACTCTCCAAGCAACAATGTGTCTTGGATAAGTTGCTCCACAACATTGTTGCTTGGATCGCCGACTAGCTTTCGCATCACCAGCAGCTTATTTTTGTTTAATTTCATTATGAAATGCTACTTTTTCAGAGTAAAAATATTTTTTTCCATGTTCTACATTCAGCACTACCCACATTATAATGAATAAATATATCATATTTATTCATTACTAATGTAATGTCAGGAAGCTTTGAGTAGCTTTGGGTAATTAGACAGACCCCCACTCGCCACCACTCCCTCCCTCAACACCACGTCACTTGTCAACATCTTCCTCCCACCATACTGTTTTTGCTTGGGAAAAACTGCTTGTGGTACGAAAAAAATGGACTCTTGGGACCTCCAGTGAGAGGCAGCCATCTTAGAAAAAATTCACAGAATGTCCTAGGGCTGCTGGCTGGGTTAGTACTGAGTGAGCAACCATGGGTGGCGCAAGCACCTCTGGCTCCCAAAAACCTGTCCGACGCAGTGTTGAAAGATGGCTCTCTGTCGGTGAAATTTAGACCATATTGTTTGAAAAACATAAGGTTCATGATATTGATGAAGCTAGGCGCAATAAGGACCTAACACAAAGGTCGGATGCAAGTGATACAGCACCTATGAGGATGATACAGCAAGCGTATCCAGTTGTAGCTCTGAGCGCCACCCTTGCCCACCTACGCCATCTCCAATTTATATAGATGATACATAGATGAATCGTTTTCTGGGTTCAGTGATGATGCACCTGATACAAGTAGCATAGATGAATAGCGTTAGCAGCTTCCATGGTGGTGTTTTCCATATATATTTTCAAGAATAGCTGAATATCTTCCAGAATGGCTGAATTTCTTCCAGATTGACTGACACTCTCCGAGAATGACTGAATCTCTTCCTATGAGGGACCTTACAAAGAGATCTTTTCAATACTCCTTACGCTTTAAAAAGCTTGGCTACATACCACCTACAAGTACTAAAGCCAAGGGTGTACGTGAGTGCGTTATTCGCAAACACTCAGAACGAAGAAACAGGAAGCGAAAATCTTTCTGTCCCTGGTGCAACGAGAGCGAAGTCGCGCTGTGTACTGTGGACTACTTTGTTGATTATTACCCACTTTTGAAATACTGAGTGTGTAATACAGTGTGTTACTGTATAAATAGCGTGTGAAACTGTACATATTGTAATTTTATTGAATTTTTAACAAGTAATATTGCAACAATAAACATTGTGGATACATTACTGACACATGTATCACAGTTCCATGGAACATTATGAATGTTCTACTGTATACATATTATAAAGGACACAAATATACATCATATACGATAAAAAACAAACAAATAA